GGTTGACTGTTCACGCATGAAGATTCATTTTTATAAATAGCGCCTAAATTTTAGTAAGTAATAATGAGCAATTATTTTAATGGTTGATTTTGCTATTCCTTAATTCAAGGCGTTTTTCTCTCAATATACTTAGAGTAGTGAGAACCGATTTTTATCATCTCCTGAGTCCGGTATAGTGGCGAACTAGGGGATGAATCCGGGTTTGCGCACTTTCCTGTAACCGATTTCAATAAAACTTGGTTATTATATGTAATTCCACGTACTTTTGAGGTCGGTTTTTTTAGTACTCTGAACTGAGATTATGATCTTTCAATATTACAGTGTCTTCGTCGTCTCTGAAAGGTTTAATACTGTTGTTAGGAGGATAGGTTATTATTAGAATTTAGGCTAACCGTGTAATTTGGCAGTTATAAACAACAATAAAAAACTTTCACTACAGTGTTGCCATATGGTTGCCATATAAATTATTCCACTTGTCTTGTAGATGGCATTGTTACAAACCAATTTATAAATTAAAGCGTCCTAATAAGGGTAGAAGACGCTAATCCTGAATAAAACAAAAGAATAGCTGGCACTATCCATAAAAATCTGCAATAAGCGCCATCTAGTTGATTTCTTTGTTATCACTAGAAATTAGAATGACGCTGATAAATTGCACCTTGTCAGTGTAACACGAATTAGTTACAAAAATAGATAAACAGATAAACACTTTATACACCAGTTGACACAAATACAGATTGAATATAACATAAATAAAACATTTTTTGTCATGGTACCCATGCCTAAGTTCCCTAAGGCGTTGGCTTTCAATCAGAATCAACGAGAGGCACTAAATCTAGAAGTTATTTGCAATGAAAGATAAACGACTAGGATGGAAATTGTTCATTAAAATAATAAATGTAATAAAGTACGAATAGGGCATCTAAAGTAATGTAATTTGCGTTTTCTTTTTAATTTATTTGGTCAATCAACAATTGTTACACCAATGAAATATCAGAAAACATACATGTAAAAAAACTAAGTGCACAATCTATTAAAGACCGACGCTACATACATGCACTATAAATTATTGCAGAGTAAAAAGAAAGTTATAAAAAGAAAAGTGTAAACATTAATTTCACCATATAAATCACTTACAAAAACAAATAGTGTTAATATCTGAAGACAGACTTTTAGAAAGGTGACGACATTTCGCGCTTGGATCTTACTGCAGAGAAGTAGTGTAAGTCAGTCGTTGCGTTGTGATAATTGTACAAATGGCAAAGCCTAAGCAATAGGAGAATTCGCACCTAAAGCACTCCTGCGAAAAGGCTTACAAAGAGGCTTTATAGGAAATCTGGGTAGTCTGCGGAGAACATTAAATGATACAAAATTTAGAACTGAACTGCATTAAATTTGATTATTTAATATTTTATACAAAAACATCATATCTAAAATGTCCCGTCGTCGATTTGAATATTCATATATATAAGTGTAAGTGAAAATTATGACTGAATATGTTTTAGTGTCATAAATCAAATTAGAAAGGCTATGAACAAGACTAAGGGTTGTATTCCAGAACTCTACTCAATGCTCAAGTCAGGATTTGAGTAGACTTTAATATGATTTCAAGCACTGGAAATACGACCCTAATGGCAAGGACTTGAGTATGATTTTCAGTGCTCACTGCAATACTCAAGTCCTGACTTGAGTATTGAGTAGAGTTCTGGAATACGACCCTACATGGGGATATGAAAGCTAATATCGCACTGCTATTACAATTATGTTATAACTCAAAATATGTGAAATTTAATATTATATCATTGTTGAACGTAAAATTTTATTATCTACACGTCAAAAAGCTGTCGTTATTGTAAAAAACAATCAAAAGGTATCTACTTAACTCAAAATGACGCACTTTATGTGAGCTAATTCTGGCCAAAATGATCCATATTCAAAAATATGCAATTATTTTTCCATTTTATTTTCAAATATATTTGGGATTTAAATTTAAATCGCAAAGATCTGAGACGTTGACAAGTCCCATGTGTTTGTAATTTCACCAGCACCCTTACCCTTCAAAACCGTAACACAGTAATGCTGACATTACTGCTTGGCGGAAGAAATAGGTAAGATGGCAGTACTTCCCTGGACGAATTCTTTCACAAGGCTGCTACTAAATTCTTTGTGTCTATAATAAAGTATAACATATATATAAGTTTTAATGATTTTTTGGCGGGAAGTGAGTAAGTAATTCGTTTTTCATCGATTCTGAGGAAGTCCACTTTTTGAATTAAGGGTCAAAACACAATATACTGCGAATCGGCGCGATGCGATTTCGTGCGGCGAGGCATCTCACAGCCGCGTCTCGGGTAACCATTCCTTCGACGATGGTCAATCGTACGAAACATATTTTTTAAACTAGGTAGCGACATGCATCATAAAAAGAGTTGTTACACTGCTGTTGTTAATAAGAAAATAGATGCATCGCAAGAATCTTCTTGCGATGCGTCTTGCGAGCTCGGTGATTTCTGCGATACGACGTCGCATCGCAGTTTTGTCTTTCGACCCTCATACACTATGGTATTAACAGTGTGATATTAATATTAAAGAAATAGCTATTTGGTAGTCGTCGCGACATCTGGTGTACTACGACTACGTTGTCTTGTATCTCGATAAGCAAGTGGTATTGGTCCATAATAGAGTGTAATACATCATTTTGATAGTGGTAGAAAATGGCAACACTTATTGTTTTATTATTATCCAAAATACACGGTTACCAAGCTGTTATGATACGTAATCAACCGTAAAGTAGTTCATCATAACCTGTACTTTAACTCTTACCCTTAACATACTGTACTTAACTATTATAATTAATTAATTAATAAAACAAATAAAGAATTTAACGTAATTTAGTACAATAGTAAGTACCACTGTAATCCATCCATTCTTATGCCTACTTCAGGTACCAGGCTCTCAGACATAAGGTTTAATATTAAGGCATTTTGTTACATAATTTGAGGCTATCAGTGCAATAGTGGCGTAATCCATATTAGTTTTTTTTCTACAATATTAAATCTTTAAATCATAGATTCCCAAACTTTTTGGCTTATTTAGGCAAGATAAAAAATGTCAACACCGACCACCACAAAAAAAAAGGAAAGCACCTATTTTTTATATTAACTTACACAAAAAAATCACAATGAAGAAAAGTATATACGTGTAGTGTTTATATAGATAATTCACTTTTTTGTTAAATGTGGTAGCACCCTCATTCCTGGACAGCATCAACACCCCCAATTGAATCCGATCCCCTATCGCTCTAGGACTCTTCGGCGCCCATTGAGGGGCGATTGGCAAACTATGCTTTAAATGATACTAAAGTACCTACATAATTCTTTTCTATTTGGATGTTATTTTCTTGTATAAAAGTATTAATTGTTTTTATACATAAAAATATTTATAAATAATTTTGACGACCTGTGTGGTCGAGTGGCTTGCACACCCGTTTTCATTGTATCGCCATCTTTGAGATCTCGGATACGGTCCCCGGTCGGGTCAATGTAGAAACTAACTTTTCTAGATTGTCTCGGGTCTAAGTGTTTGTGGTACAGCCGTTGTTTCCGATGTCCACAATACAAGTGCTTTAGCTACTTACTTTGGGAACAGAGCAACATATCGTCTGTGAACTGGCAGTCGATACTATCTCAATTTTGACAACTTAACAGGATGTAGAAAAAAATTGTTTGGGTCATTTATATAGCATCTAGTTTATTAAATAAAAATACGTAGTTTTTAGATATTTTTATTACACATGTATGTATGTACACTACATATTTTTATTTAATAAACAGGATGCTATATAAATGATTTTTTCTTCATCTTGTAAAGTTGTCAAAATTGAGATAGTACCGGTTGCCAGTTCACAGTCGATATGTTGTCTGATTGTCTAATAGCGTCCAAATATAAAATAATTATACACTTTAGTGTCATTATCATCACCACTATTGCGCCTATAGCCTCATTTACCTTATATGCTGAGAAAAATATATAAAAAAAAATGCTTTGCCATCAACCAGCCGGTGAAATATTATACTTGACGCACTGTAGCTAGATCCTATTAATTTTGATATCCTGTTTTCAAGTACCCAGTATCTTTTAATAGTTTAGACCATGTTTAGACTCAGCCAAATGTAAGGCACTGCACAAACGTGCGTCTTGTGTTGGATACAAGCAACCGGCAACTAGAAGCGAGTATTCTATTTTCGTAAATTAATATTAAATCGGCACAGTCAATCGAACACTGTCACCGGTTGTGGTAACCGCAATTGTACGAAAATATAATATTTGCTTGTAGTTGCCGGATGCTTGTATCCAACACAAGACACACGCTTGCCTAAGCACCTGAACATAACGTATTTAATACGTTTTTGAACAAAGAATCTTTATTTACGTTTTGATTAGTATACACGCGGTAGTGGGCTGTTCACCAGCAGGCTGTTGGCGTTTAAACCACTTATTGAACCTATTACCTTTCAAGCTTTTGACAGATTATAACAAAAAGAGAAAGCCAGAAAGACAGACTTAAAGGCACGATCAGTGTATATACATTCTGTAGCGGCCTGTGTTCGAATTCTCCTATATACATTTCCATAATGGCCTGAGTTCTAAAATTCCAATATAATTCCACTGTGGCCTGTGTTTGAAAAGTTGTCCATAATGGCCGGTGTACCACAATAGTAGCTAGTTGACATTCCACCGTAAATCATTTGGTAAAATGTACTCATTTAGAACTATTGACTACTTTTGTAAAATGTAATGAATCAATGTAACTTTATTTTATTCACAATTCAATAATATATTAAAAAAAACCATAAAACAAATTACACAGAGCTATGGAGTGTATAGGCCAATCTCGAATTCTAGCACAGGCCGTAATGGAATACAAAAAATTTGTAGATAAAATTACATTTTACCGTACATTGATAAGTAGTCATAATTTATGTAATTTGTCTGGTTAGCGGTGGAGGTAATACGGCTGGACCACAACTACAGCGCGGAGCCCTCGGCTCAGCAGCAGCCTGAAGTCTCGAGGCTCAACGTGAGACAACTCGTTGACACGCTTGGCTACTTGTAAGTATGAAAAAGATTAGCATAGAAAATTGACACCATGAAATTTCAGCTGGAGTTTTTAAATCTCACTAGTTGAAACGTGGCCACATCCTTTTTGTTACGCACTGTAGACCAAACATTTTTGCCTCCCGGCAAAAAAAAGGTACACTACAAAAATTAATTGAAAACATTTATTTTTTATATTAACTTAACACAAAAAGTCACGGAAAATATGTTATATATTTGTAGTGTACTTTACATACATAACTCAGTTTTTTTTTCAAATGCGGTAGCTCCCCTGGTCTGCTGTCCAGGCTACGCCCCCCAATTGCTTCCTAGGCCCCTACCGCCGCCCTACACTCTTCAGCGCCCACTTTGGGAAACTATGCTGCAGAGTAACTCTCGCAGTTATTAAATTTTTTCTTTAATTTTACTCTTGTGAAGGTGGGAGGTTCTCTCTACCGTGGATGTTGTTACGCAGCTCCAGGCAGGTGAAAACTCCAAATTGTTAGAAAAAAGATTTATTCCCACCTTGTATACGCCAATACAATTTCACCCTATATGCGGAAGGTCCGGGCAGTTGTTCCCAAGATTTCCATAGATTTCCACCCTATATGATTGGCTATAAAATTTCACCCTATATGAGCGTACGTCAATATCCGAAGATCCGGGCAGCAGTTCCTGAGAAGGGACTCAACTCCTGGTTAGCCTTTCTGAGCTATTGGTATTGTCAACATAAGGTATTCTCAACATAAACAAAATTGTGTTTGAGTAGTCACCATTCGAGGGAAAATCTTAACATCTTGATTCAGAAATAACGCCAAATGGGTCAGTGCCATCTAGCGGATTCTTAACGGACTAAAAGTAAACATTCTGGCTTAAGACCGTCTAATACATAGAGTAGGTTTGTTACACTCTCTCTTTTTCATTATTTTAACGTCAAGTAACAATTTACAATTATTTTCATTAATATTGACCCAAATAACTATCAGCCGTTGTAGGTCTGAAATACCGCCTCTCAAACAGAGGCTGTGGGTTCAAATCCGAGCTTCCACCTCTGAGTTTCTCGGAATTTATATGCGAAATTTAATTTGGAATTTACGAAGGAAAACATCGTGTTGAAACTTGCACGTCGAAGAAGGTTCACAATCATCGGAAAACTTGTGAAGTCGCCAACCTAAATTGAGCCAGTGTGGTGGAGTATGGCCTAAACCTTCACCTGAGAGAAGACCCGTGCCCAGCAGTGGGACACTTAAATGGGTTGATGATGATGAAGTATCACAGCGTTTAAATTACTGACTAACTTATTAAATCCATGTGTTATACCTGTGGCTGTAGCATGGCAGTTTAAGTGTGATAAACCTCCCCGTGACATATTTATTTCAGTTGTTAAAGCTGTGTTGCCATTATAATTTTTTTTCATTGCGAAAACTGAATCGGTAAGATACCACATTAGAGTCATTCATTCTTTCGTTTATTTGGTAATAAACTGTAATTATACATTTTAAAGAACAAGGATAACGGTATGAAATTGCGTATATAGCTATCTATGTCGTTTAACCATCAATGAAACAAAAACGGTTTTTGCATATTTTACGTTAAATTTGTTATGTAGAGGGAGTTCTTTGTCGTATTGATGACGTCACCAAATTCTAAAAAAACTATATGACGAACAAAGTTTGATTTGTGAAGTCTGTAATATAGATTTGTTACAGTTATTCGTTTTGACGCTTTTATGTCAGAAACGCAAAATGCCAAATGGGCAGAATATCAGATTCGCAAAATGCCAGATTCGCAGAATGCCAGATTAGCAAAATGGCAAATGTCACTGACAAGAACAGGCATTCCTCCTTCTGGCACACGAACTAATGTCCAGTGGTCGTCAAGTAAAGTTGACGTCATTCGGCTGAAATAATGATTATAACGAAGCGAGGTTCTGATGTTTTACTAATTTGTTAAAAACAAAATGTAGTTTCCTCTAACTACTAAAGAAATGATCTTTGTATCGTAAAGAAACTTGCTAATTTTACAGCTTCAATTAGGTATTACTAACTTAAACCTGCCTACTCAGAGACCTTTGTCCTGCGTCAGGAGGAGGAAGGCCAGTAACATCCTGACAGTGACATTTGGCATTTTGAGAACTAATAAATACTACTGAATAATACATTAAGCTTATTTTGAAAGCCAGAGACGCGTGCGCAACTTGAATCTCGTGAAGAATTTCGTTTTGATAGGTAGTGAAGTCGCTGGTTCGAATCCGGCCGGATCGAAGGAATTTTTTCTGAGTGTTCAATTTTTGTATTAATAATTATAACAAACTACTGAAGTAATTTCGCATTAAAAATAATTGAATATCATGGTGGTGAAACATTCAATAAATAAATAAAAATAAAATTGTTTATTGTACAAGTTATTGCACAAAGGAATAACTAAAGACCTAATTATGCGAATCAATGTAAAATAGAACACCATGCATCTATCTGAACTAGGAGGATCCTGTATTTCAGGTAAAAAGTACTAATTAATTAATTAATTACAGGTGGATGTTAAATTATAAAGGAAAGAATAATTAAACAACAAAATGAAAATCATATACCTATACGCTTAAATTAGGCAACATTTATTTTAGGATATTTAATAAATTCTCTGTGGCATCATCATAGGACATATTAGGTAATAAGGTCCCCGATTCTACGAACATCAACCCACAAATCTAAAAAGTGTTACAAACGACGAAAAGTTTAATTACCCGACTGAAACTCCTTTTATTGGATAATGAATTCTACAGTGTCGATGAGTTTATTTGAAACAATTGTAATTTTACTTGACTTCATTGTATTTAGAGAAGCAGTAGTTATACTACTTTATTTTATATTAATTATTATTGTTTGCATTAATGACCATCACATTTGACATTGATATGAAAAAATAAACTTAATATTGCACTAATAATACTTTTATTACCACCAGGTCATTGAAGAACCTACAGCGCAAGCAGTTATGGGTGGTAAAGGTGGAGACCGACAAGGCTGAAGCCTCTATTACGCAATCGGAGCAGGTCATCACGAAGATGGGTGACCCTAAGCAGATTATTGAGGTATTTTTGTTTATATCTGGGCTTTGTCGTGTTGTTTTAAGTTTTATACTACAGCTGGTTTCGTGGGGCGCGTGATAGGTGCGGAGAAGAGTTGTCAGTGTATTGAAATTGCCTGTTCAATGCGTTGTAAAAATCTTATATTATAAACACCTAAATTTTTTTACTATTATATCTTCGACAGATAATACCACAGACTTCAACATCTGAAGAACCAGCGGCAGAGGTACAACCAGAAACGAGTGGACAAGGGGAAACACTCCAATTAATGGACGACTCCACAATCTCAGACAACTTCATATATGAAATCGCAGAAGAACAAGAAATCACCATGGAAGAAGTCAAAGAAATACCGTCAGAAAATAAAGAATGGACGGTTAACATTATACCAGATGAAAGTAAACCTAAATACGCGTATATAAAACATTGTGCAACAGGCAAAAAGAAGCGGCATTTCACAGCCGATATGAACGAAATTACCTTGCAGGGTGATTTTGAAAATTATTACATTCTGCCCGATGTTGATCCATCGGTTGGCGTAGAAATAACAACAAGTTATGAACCAGAAAATTATATTGTTGAAGATTATCAACACTTAGTACTCGAAGAAAGACCCAAGAAGAGACCTAGGGAGTCTGATCCCAATAAACCGAAAAGGAGTAAGAAGAAAATAACTCCTATGCGTGACCAGGTGAAACAAATCCAGATAAAAAATGAACTAGGCGAGGATTGGGTAATTCAGAACGATATTGTCTACGATCAGGACGGTTCTGATGATTTCGATGACAAAAAGGGCAGGGTAAGACGAAAAAATAAAAAATACCTTGGCTACGATTTTGTTACCTAAGAAACAAGATTTCTTTTGTAAAAAAATGTCGGTATTTGATTTTGTGTGCATTCTTTTTTTTTTGTTTCGAACTGTCAATTTGTCATTTTTAAAAATTTAGAACTTTAACCAGGTATCACTCGAGGTGTGATAAACAATGGCCAAGTAGTTTAGGCTAGTCGCCGCTAGATGTCGTTGAACCGTTTCTTGTGTATTTCCTGAGACGCGCTATTAAGTTGTTATCGAAATTTATATAAATGTCGAGAGATTTAGTATTTTTTGGGTCATTATTTGGGACTCTATACGCGGTTCTTTGGATTGTGTGTTTAGTACGGCGCGAAGTGGGCTGCGTTTGACCATTCCGACACCAAAGGAGCAGCGGGCCGTTGCTAAAGGCGCTTCGATTTGTATATCGTTGTAATTGAAGCTGTAAAGTTTACAGTCAGGAGCACATCGTGTTTGATACTTTGGATTTCCTGTATTGGCCCTATACCTGGCGCAAAAATTATTGATATTTTGACAGTTATTTTTTAAGAATATGATCAAGTGGGGTAAGAAGAACATCCTTTGTTTTGAGCTCCAGGAAGAACAGTTATAGTGTTTTATGTATACCTTGTGTTCTCAAGAATTCACAACTGTCATGTTTGCTTGTTTCCGCCTTTTGAATTTGGAGCATCGTAGCGACATCTCTTTAAAATAGTTTAAACTATACTCCGCTCAACTTTTGACGTATATGCATAGCTTCCGAAGTTCCGTAATTATTGACATACAACCATAGACAAAAAATGCAATACTTCCTGGACTCTTTTATTTATTAATTTTTAGTGACGCGACGAAATTTAGTGAAGCAGCAGTTTATCCGATATTTATCGAGCCAACACATGATGTAACGAAGACAACTTCAATAGTTGATAAATTTTGGTATCTGTCTAATAAATTATAATGAAATGAAATAAATAACGATCCTAATCAGACAATTCTTTTTTGAACCCGCTCACATTCACGATTTAAACTTCTTCATAAATAAAATTGTTATAAAAAAATCTAATCGGAAATGCGTTTGCGTTAGGACATCACTAATTGATT